GCTTCTGAGGCTGGGGATGTTGTGAAAACGAATCCAATAGTTAATAACGAGTCTCTGCCAGAGTGCTAGCTGGTCCGAAATTCCAAAATCCCGAAAATAGTATTTCCCACGGAGGACGAGAAATTTGAACCGCAATTTGAAGCGCGCGCACTTCGTCGATGCTGTCCTGCGATTTCGTGAGAACGAGGTCCAGACAGCTGGACTGTTGGCCATGCCTAAGGAGTCTTTTTTCCCTGTGCGCTGTTTTTGCTTAATGCGACCTACTGGCTCGTGTTTATTAGCATGGCCAATAAGTCTAGGTAGAAGATAAATGCTTACAAGTTTGATTATGTTACTTGGAACAAGTGAGTAGTTGTGTATTTTTACTTTTCACGAACTAACCGGCGGCTGCCCGTCCTTCGTGTGCGACCTCTAGTAAAATGAACGGCTGTACCAATGCATTTCTTAACTACTCTACTACCAACACAGAGTTCAAACGTGTTTGCCTATATTTCCTTTACCAACCCTTTCGTGACCTGATTAAGCTTTGAACTTCTTCTACCTTTGAAATGTTTCCCTAAATCACAGCATAGTCATTCATATAGATTTAGGGTACGTTTTAATTTCGTATATGTTCAAAATAGTTCTTCTTATAGACTGAAAAAAAACTTAGGTATATGCTCACAAGAAATATGTTTGCCGTGCAAATATCTTCTTCATAAAATACGTGAATAATCGATCAGCTCATATAAAACAGCATAATGCAAATGATAAACCTAGAAAAATAACCAGGGGATAATGGGGTTTCAGTGTGTTTGGCGAAGTGGCATGACAACAGAATCTTATGTTAGCGAGTAACCCCTTTCAAAAATGGTCTTTAAGGTTAATTGGGACGACGTCACTGTCGCTAGAGAACCTTACTATAACAGTTTGGCCCCTTATGTGATAAGCAAATTGGAAGTCACATTACAGGACTGTCTTCCCGTAAGGCAACCTGAAAAATCTGTCAAGAATTCGCATGAAATTCATCACTTAATATGCGTCCTTCTATTTTTTTGTCAATTAATATGACCGACAACTAAGAGTGAATCCTTTTTTGACAAATGAAGCATCAGACGGGACTGGGACTTGGATGGGGAGCAGACGGGTTACTCATCAAAAGTGCAGAGGCCCAGTTGCTGGAGGTTAGTTCAGCCATCGTTTCCTGAACTTAGGCCCATGCCCAACAGAATTGCCGAGCAACAGGGCACTCTGATGCATAACAACGCAACACACTTCTCGCAACTCAGCAGTCTAGACTGCATCACACCGTCAGAAAGGCTGCCAAGAACACCCTATGTGGAAGACGACGCTTTCCGATCACCTACGCCAACCTCCTGTTACTACAATTTGCGGTCAGCAACATCCTACCAAGACGTCTTTCTTGTTCAACGGAGCTCCACAACTGGCGCCAGGAACTCCCCTGTCCCCACTACTCCTTCATTTCAGGTGAGTGCCTCTATTCGATAGCTGGTTGTCTGAAAATGCAGCCTGTTGATAAGACCAGTTGTTCTATTTTCTTTAAATGCTGGCCATTTAAAAATTTGCTGCCGGAAAACCAAAAGGACATCATCACGGACACCTCTTGAGCCTTTGGGAAGTTACTTTGTAAAACCTCCTCGCTTAATTCGAGAACCATGTGTTTAAAAGTGCCTGAGTCAGAACAATTTGCCAACGACCTAACAGGTGAATATTATGAAAACTTTCTTCTTTCGGAAAGTCATTAAAACAACTCAAGTTAGGGAAAAGTGATAGGGCTCATTATGCAACTAAGAATGTTACATTTCCCGTTGGACCAAAAGAAAGTCTTAACAAGAGGGCATTTTAGGGCATTGACAAGTATTAAAAAAATTAAATGAGTCATTACTGGTAGAGACTGGGAGGATTCCCATCCGGAATAATATATCAGGCAAAATTAATTACCACCATACACTCCTCAAGACAGCGAAAGTACGTCTGTAATCCACTTTTGCACCTGAAAGCACAAATTTGCATGTTGAGTTCTTATTTATTTAGCCTTCTTTTGATCTTAAGCATGTATTTGTCAGTTATGTCTTTAGCGTTTGTAGCTTAGCGTATAGAGCGTTGGCTTCCGGTAAAGAACTTCTCTGACACGCGGGTTCAAATCCCGCCGAACGCCTCGAATTTTTTCACAATTGCGTCAACTCAAATATGTCTTTTCTGTTGATTTGTTTTTCCATTTAAAAGACATGTTTCTTGACTGGATGATTATGAGCTGATTTATAATATCTGCTTATTAGCCGTATACAACTATTGAGAGGGTATTTTCTGGGAGCATAGTCATCGCTACAGACGAAATTCGTACTCCTTGTGATTTTCCTTTGAAGGTGATGGTTTTTTCGGTAGATTGCTATCGCTGACCACAGAAATTTGGTTGCAAAGTTAAATGAATCCTAAGACGGTAGTCATTCAGCATGGTGCGAACGTTGTTCATTTCCGCCGCTTTATTTTTTTCAAGGCATCTTTGTTCGGCTATCTGCAAGCTTCCATACACTAGAAGGAATATTGTATATCGCAATCTTATAAACCCTTTAAAACAGTAAAATAAACTTCTACAATTTGACGGTTTGAGGAAAACACAATTTGCTTCAAAGTGACTTATTGAAAGAATATTTTTTGTATGCTTTCTATGGAATATGCTAGGACTACAAGAGGTTTAAAAGTCAGTGCACACATGTCACGCATGATCTAATCATTTTTAACGAGTGACTTTTTCAGACCGTCATGAAAACTAGCATTTAACGTCCTCATGAGTACAACAGTGCCAGATATTGATACATCCTAATCTCATAGCACACAAATTCAGCTAATATTTTATTAGTCACGTCGTCAAATGTACCTCTGCTGAAGTGCGTAAATGGTGTCTTTCAACATTGGCTATATTTTACATATACTTGGCCTTAGTACTGATTGTTTTTAAGTAAAAATGTTTTAAATTATGAAAATGAGAGTTTGTGAAATCGTACATGTTATGTTTTCGACAATGTTTCGCACCAATATAGCGAAAAACAAGTGCTATATAAATGACCAAAATATAACTATAAATAAACTCGAGTC